TAGGGGCCGTTTGGTTCTTTTTATTGTGGAGGAATTGGAATCTACTTAATGGATTAGGCTATTTGGCTGGGCTAACAAGTCCAAAGCCTTCAATTGACCCCCACATACTATAACAATGATACTATTTTAGGTGGGCATCTCCTGCAAGATCATCAATGCTCTAGGGACATCAGCCGTTCGTTGCGACTTGACAACTCTGACCTCCCATAACTTCTTCCTCCATGGCTACATCGGATCACTTCGCTACCACCTCTACCTTCTCCTCAATAGGGCATGATAAGACGGGCTTTCCTCTATGGTGGTGGGACAACTACACATGCGCTTGGAGACATGATAGATGGCAGTTCCCCTCCTCTCGATTGACCCTCTAGATGGACTATGGTTCAGCATGTGGACACATTAGAAGTCAATGAGCGCAATGATGTCATAGGTCTAAACGGCTTGGATGTTTTGGGCCCACTAGGACCTAGAGAAGGACTGGGGCCAGCCTAGCTAGCCCTGGCCGAGCGCTTGAGGGGCTCGATGGCCAGCCCCTCCTCTCAAGGGGGAGTTCACATCCAATTAGAAGTCTGAATAACAGAGGAAAGAATAAATTCAGATTAGGAAAGATATGTTTTGTTTACGAAAGGAGAGTCCAAATTTGCAAGGACTCTACCTCTAGTTTGCTTAGGGAGCAAGTTATAGGAAGTATAAATGTAGGGGTCATGTATTCATATCAGTCAAGGCAGAAAAAGAAGATTATTCCTCAAGCTCTCTTACTCCACAGCCCCCTTGCATCGGCCCTCTTCCAGTGCAGCCCCCGCCTCTTACACTTTGCGACGATGGCCTCGATCTCCTTGCAAGTGGTTGTATGTGGGCGACCATAGGTTGTCGCCGCTTCCTCATCCCTCGCCCCCCCTAACTCTTCCTGCGACAATCTACGCAACCCACCTCCCACCAACATTGTCCCCTCACACCTCTCCTATTTGGTTGTTTTATTTTGCGATCAAAATAGAGCAACCATATACAGTATTAATTATGGAGTAAGCATGTACACTAACCTTTCCTTTGTTAGTAACATATAGATTCATAGGTGAAAACTAAGGTGGGCTATTAGCACTATCTATTTGGATAACTGATCGATCTATCCTTGCTAATTTTAGCATACTAAATATAAATATTAGCATCAAGTATCAAACATGTCTTAGTCATGTCTATGGGTTGTCTACGGTAAGGTGAGACTTTCTGAAGAGTACAACAATATATGTAATGTCACTCACGATGTGATGATCCTCTTTTATAGTATCCGTGGCGTGTGGAGCTAGCGGATTGCGTGCTCTGCATCCCACACCTTGTCCTGCTTGTGCTGGGGAGTATATAGTCCCAAGCAAAAAAAAAAAAAAAAAGATGAGGCACGCATTTCAATTATTCAGCCCCTGTCGCCGTCCTTCCCAAGACAAACAAACAACAGTGAATGATCGAGCGAAAAAAGTCTTGTTGCCTCCATGCGCTCCGATCCTCTCTCCGCGCCTCATTCTGGCTGCCGTGCCATGCCACGCAAATTCGCAGCTACTGCCATACCATACCACAATTCCACAAAGCAGCTCTTCATCGAGGAATCTTAGGAGTATTCTGTAGAGTCAAATCAAATCAAATCCACAGGTGAAACCTGCTTTCATTCGGTAACAGGATGTGCATGTAGCCGTAGGCTTCTTCTCTATAGGAGTAGGTAGCTAGTGGGGGATTTGAAATCCTACGAGAATCAAACGATCATCACCGATTCAAGTGAAATTCAGTGCTACCTACCAATGTCCAGAAAAGGACACAATTTGAATTCCTATCTCTAAGTCAAATTTTCTAAAGATTGATGTAGTTTCTATGTCTATATCTTCACCTAATATCAAAGTAAATAATTTTTCTTCGTCCCTAGGTTCACCATCTCTCACTCCCATCCTTGTTCTTCTGTCACTTACATCGGCGAAATGATTTTTCCATCCGTATCTTTTACTTTCTAAAGTTCCTTCGCGTCTCTCTTAATCCGTATTTGACCTCGGCTCATGACCCATCTCATACGAATTAGAATTGTGCGCATTTGTATGTCCAACGATGGTACGGAGTTCGGTTCCAATAATACATATTGAGACAAATGACGACCCATCTCATACGGATTAGAATTGTGCATGTTTGTGTGTCCGGTGATGGTATAGAGTTTGGTTCCAATACATATTGAAACAAATGACACAGCTATTACATAAATCTTCGAGCCACAAGTTATTCAGCCGATCACACAAGGTCTATCTTCCGTTGTACCGTATGAACATATTTGCTAGTGATATTGAAAACAGAAAGGATTTCTGTATCTGTTGTATTTTACTTCACACAATACCATGGTACACCTCTTTGTCCCCTCCATGAGTAATCCATTAACAAATATTTGGCATAATGCCAAATAACTTGATCAAATTTAAAATGATTTGATTTGGCACTCTGCTAGAAATATACTGTAATTTTTAGATGAAGTACTAATAATGTACTATACACGTAGATAAGATAAAGGGATGGCAGTTGAACTCGGAAACCTACTATACTACCGATAATCCATGGGAATTTGAGGATTGTTTGGCAAGGTTTTGTATTGTCATAGAAACGTCTCAAATCCATATTCCCTACATAAATGTTTGTTTGATGAATCAGAATTATTTTGTGGAACCGTTTAGCTAACTCATTGAATTCTTAAAACTAGGACTAGAGCACCATTTAGATGGCAGAATCAGTTCCAATTCGTGAAAAAAAACACCAAACGACCAACCGCGAAACGATTATGCCTCAACGTTTTGTGTGGTTCCAGACCTTTTTGCCTGCACGAGCGAAATGGCTCCAGGCTAGTTACGCTAGATTCTATTTCTAGTTTCTCCCATACACTAGCGACCGTTATTTTTTCTAGTTATCCTTTTTAAGTGTAACAATTTAAAATAGGTTGCATTCAAGTTATTCTTTACCTGCAAAAAGTTTTGATTCTTTAAAAGCATATTATTATTTATATGTTTTTATAAAAAAATATTTTTAATCAAAATCCAGCCTACTAGTCGATCGCGCTCATAACTGATTCATCACCTGAAACATTTTTTATAGATGATCCGAAACATTTGTACGAGAACGTGAATCCCTACGAAATGGGCCCTAAAATCAGGGGGGAAAACAGATTTTTAGGTGCTGGACTAGTAGTAAAAAAATAAGAATCGGTTCCGGATGATTTTCTTTGAAATGTTTCTCTTTTTATTTATCATATTTTAGCAGCGGTTCTTGTTATTCTACTGAGAATTTAAAACGTTTCTTGCTGCTAAACACACCCTTGCATTGATCTGCTGGATCCAAACTGTACAAAGCAACCACGAATCCACGATGACCTGATGGACCTGCAGATCTGAACAAAGCACGCGTGCCATCGATACAAACAACGACGGACACATACGTTGTAACCGAAAGGAAACCCCCTCCCGCCTCTCTCCCATCAGCACCGGGTTCCCTCCTCATACCTCCCACCGGATTCCTTCAGCCATCGGTGTCAACTTATCCCTATCTTTATGGACTTTTGTTTTCAATCTAACCCTTTCAACAAACTTTTTTTTGAAACTAACAAACATTATCTAGAAGTAAACATTTCAACAAACATTTCTCACCAAAATAGGTCTCCGGTTCCGTTGAAAACCTTCTCTAGACACAATCTCTACAAAGCGGAGTAGTAGTACATGCCTTGGAGAGTATTTGGACGTGACAGCGACACTGATGTGTTATGGCCACATAGAACGGGTATGGGATGTGGATGGGGTAACCGAGACTGTAAAGCTAACCTAGGGTCAGTGCAATGGGGTCTATAAGCGGAAGTCACCATTTAATCTGACGTTTTTCGACGTCTCGCCACATCATATTCGAATTCTTGTCTTAGAAACATCAGATTGCTACACCACCTTTTAGGTCATTCTCAATGGTGTTCAAGTTTCATGACGTTGTTTTCGAGAGTACCATATAAGCCAGAATACAATTAGATATGGACCAAACAACCAACCTCAATGTATGACCTCATTTCATTTTGTTTTACTATCATATAGCCTCTGCATAACATTCATTCAATTACACGAGTCATCCAGAGTTGAACTGTAGTCAAAGTGAGTTTCACTGTCTCTTCTCTCTTCTTTAACGTCGTTGCCATGCTATCATCAATGCGTACGTGAGCGTGACACTCTATTTACAGCATGTTTGGATCCCAGTTGCAAAAAAGTAGCACTATGTTTGATGCTAATTAGAAGGACCAAATGTGAACTAACTTCAAAACTAATTGCCTAAACGGTGACTAATTGGCGAGGCGAATCTACTGACCCTAATTAGCAAGTGATTACTGTAGCACCATATGAGCTAATCATGCCCTAATTAGGATTAATAGATTCGTCTTGTCAATTAGTCACCGTTTATGCAATTAGTTTTGAAATTAGTTCACTCCTCCTCATTTGCATCTAAACATAGTGCTAATTAGGGCATATGTAAGCATTTAATTAGAGCACGCCGAGTTCTTTTGTTCAATTTTGTGTGGAGGGCGGAGAGGACTATAAATTGAAAAGATTCCATGAATGGATGGACACTTATTTGTGTATTTAACTTTCTCTGTTTTTTTACCCGCCACCGGCCTCCGACCCCTCCGTCGTCGTGTCCATCAATCCGTCCATATCAGAGGAGAATACACGTACGCCATGCTCCCGGAGTCCTTGTAGCACAATGCTCCCGGCCTCTCCGTCGTTGTGTCCATCAATCCTTGCATATACATACTCCTATGTAGATGCAGCCTTCCCCGTAAGGCAAGCCGCTCTTCACCTCGGATTGAGTCTTCAATTCCTTCGTCCTTCCATGTCGATTGATTCTTCTTGATTGATAGAATAGATAGGGGGAAAAAAGGAGAGCAGGGGAGAGAAAGGCAAGGCAGAGCCCGTAGCGTCCTTGTCGTCACAGATAGAACTAGATTGCTGGCAATGGCGTCGTCGAGGGGGCCTTTCGCCGCGCTGCTCCTGCTGGCCTGCGCCGCGGCCGCCGGCGCCGCCGGCACGCTGGACGGGTCGGAAGAGTGGGGCTACGTGGAAGTCCGACCCAGTAAGTAATGCAACAAGCTTGATTACTTCTCTCATCTAATCTGTCTGCCGCTGCTCGTTTTTGAATCGTAAGAATCCATTGCTGCCTGCTGCTGCTGCTTCTTCTTCAGAGGCGCACATGTTCTGGTGGCTGTACCACAGCCCGCAGCGCGTGGACAACGGCACGACGCCATGGCCGACCGTGCTGTGGCTGCAGGGAGGGCCGGTGAGTGAGTACATAGTAGTATTACATAGTTGGATTGGATTGATGGAACTGTCTCCGGTTAGCTCGTTGCAATTGCAATCAATCAAATCTTAAATCTTTGTATAATGGATGGATGCAATGGTTCATCACTCACCAGGGCGCGTCCGGCGTCGGGTACGGCAACTTCATGGAGATCGGGCCGCTGGACGAGGACCTCAAGCCCCGCGCCACCACCTGGCTCGCCAAGGCCGACCTCCTCTTCGTGGTCAGTAATACAATCCATTACAACTACGCTGCAATGCATCATGGATGAACAGCAATCGATGAACATGAACGGCAATGGCAACAATGGCAGGACAACCCGGTGGGCACGGGGTTCAGCTACGTGGAGGGCGGCGACAAGAGCCTGATGGCGCACACGGACGCCGAGGCGGCGCGCGACCTCGTGACGCTGCTCTGCGCGCTCTACCGCGGCAGCCCCCGGCTCCGCGCCAGTCCGCTTTACATCGTCGCCGAGTCCTACGGCGGCAAGTTCGCGGTCACCACGGCGCTAGCGGCGCTCAGGGCCGTCGACCAGGGCCGCCTCCGCGCCACCCTCGCCGGCGTCGCACTCGGAGATAGCTGGATCTCGCCGCTCGACTTCGTGGTGAGTTTTACTACGTATTTGATTGGCTGTGCTGTCATCGCCAGCAGTAATTCGATTCCTTGCTGACTAATACTGACTTGGTGTTCTGTATTTAATATCTCTACTGTTAATAGTCAACGCATGTATGTCGTGCAGCGCACTAGCGTGCCAACCGCTTTTTTGACAAAAACCAGCAGCAGTATGATGAGTGATCAATGAGCTCTGCTCTGTTGCATGTATGTTGCAGTTGTCGTGGGGGCCGTTGCTGTACCAGGTGTCCCGGGTGGACGAGAAGGGGCTGCAGCAGTGCAACAGCGTGGCGGCCAAGATCAAGGAGCAGCTGGACAAGCGGCAGTTCGCGGACGCCGAGGCATCGTGGTCCGAGCTGGAGAACGTCGTCAGCGCCAACTCCAACTCCGTCGTACGCACGCACGCACGCAGCACCATACCTGATTGATACCTCTCCTTATTCCTGCTTGTTTCATACTGCTAATGATAACACTGAATACACGACGTACAATGCAGAACTTCTACAACTTCCTCAAGGACGAGTTGTCGGGGGACTCCAGCACCACCACCGCGGCGGCGGTCTCGACGCTGGCGTCCTTCCGGCGGCGGAGCGGCTACTCGGGCTACCTCAAGTCCATGGCGGCGGCGGCGGCGGCCTCGTCGTCGGAGCAAGAGGGCGGCTTCGACGGGCTCATGAACACGGTCATCAAGAAGAAGCTCGGCATCATCCCAAAGGATCTCAAGTACGTCCGCCGACTCTCCCATCAAAGAGTTAAGAATGACTGACTAATAAAATGTGTGCCTGCCCTGCACTGCAGTTGGGGCGACCAGTCAGACGACGTGTTCGTGGCTCTGGAGGGAGACTTCATGAAGCCCAGGATACAGGAGGTCGACCAGCTCCTCAAGCTCGGCGTCAATGTCACCATCTACAACGGACAGGTATATCCCACGTCCTCTGACTGACTGATGAAACTGATGATTGGCATTGGCACTGGCACGACAAAGTTAGCTAAGGAACACCTTACACCTTATTGCTCTACTCTGACTGAGCAATGTCCGCGTGTTCTTGGACAGATCGATACCCCTTACAACAATATATTACTACTACTACTAGCTATAGGAACGAACAGCTAGCCAAGGACCCAAACTCACACATCTGACTGACTGTCGTCAGATGAAGGCTTCATTCTCATTCCTGCCATGTTTTGCACACAGTGGTCACTGCACATTTGCAGGCAGAGTCGTCAGGCCAGTCGGCGGCCCCCTCTGTATGTCCGCTCCATGTGCACGTACGCAAATCTTGCCCTTTTGCTTGTCCGTCCTCGTGTCACAGGCACATAAGCAGCCAAACATTATGGTTTCGCACGTGTTGTCTGATGATCCCAAGGAATATGGACTGCACTGCACATCACATGACACCAGGAACTACATTCACTTCACTCTTCAGTAGCTACTCCTGTCCTGCTGACTCAGTTGCGAGTTCTGACTCTTCGATCTGATATCCTTATACTCATCGCGGGCATGTTCATCTCATATCCTAATTTGTCTCAATGCGATCGATCTCCTTGTTGTTTATTTGTATTATATATGCGTATCTGTAAATTGCAAAGCCTGAACATACAAACAAAACCACTGTCTGCCTTGCCTTTCAACTGATCCTGGCTCATGCATACCTCCCTCCCTACCTACCTCATTATTGCTAAACCAACTGACATTTCACAAGCTCTTGTTTGCAAGTAAAATAACTAGCTTGATTATTAGATACTAACAACAAGCCTTTCTCTTGCCCGCAGCTCGACCTCATCTGCGCGACCAAAGGCACAATGGACTGGGTTCAGAAGCTCAAGTAAGTAGCAGTCTCTCTCGCAGGCACAACACAGCACTATGGACTGCTCCTTCTATGCACTGTCTCTGATCACAATTCACACACCTGTACTGAACGTGAGTGAGTAAGTTCACAAGAAGTGGCCTAGCCTAGCTAAGCTTATTGATGCGATGCCTGCTGCTGCTTTTGTCATCATGAATCAGGTGGGACGGCCTCAACAATTTCCTGAGCGCTCCCAGAACGCCCATCTACTGCGACAAGAAGGGGCAGTCCGGCACCCAGGCCTTCGTCAAGTCCTACAAGAACCTAAACTTCTACTGGATACTCGAAGCTGGACACATGGTAATTAGCTCCACTACCACTAGCTAGTAACCACCATTCATTCATTAATTCGTTCTTTCCATTAGCACTGCATGCACTGCAAGATTGTTGAGTAAGCACGCATGTCGCTGTTTTGCACACTATATCGCTGTGAGTGACCAAGCTGAGAAGGTGACGCACCATCCACCCTGATAGCTAGCTAGTACTAGCATACTCGCTCGTCCAGCCCCAGCGCTAGCTAGCCATTAGCAGTAGGGAGAGGGAGGGATTCCTCCTGCAGGTTCCGTCCTGCATGAGCTGGAAAGAGAGTGTGCATTCATGCAGTTGGTGAGATAGCTTCTTCATGGCCACGTGCACCAGAAATGTTCCATGCATCTCAGCATCTGCCTGTCAGCCTGTGCTGTGACCCATCGATTCCCTCTTCTCCCTGAATGAAGAGAGACAAGACTCCTCAGGCCACAGGCCAGCCAGGCACACATGCACCAACAGTGATATGTCATAGATGTAGGCAGCTAGCACAGGCATCAGGCAGGGGACTGCTTCACTGCCTTCTTCAATGGTTATGGATTTGTCATTTGTGATCCGTCCGCAAATGTCCAAATAAAGAACGAAAAAAACAATGTTTTTATGCATAAGATGCTAATATGGATTATTATTATTATACTAATGCCCACTTCTTGTCTTGATGTTTTTTTTTATGATGACAACAATAAACAGGTACCCATCGACAACCCTTGCCCTGCGCTCAAGATGCTGGCTGACATTACGCGATCTCCTGCCAAGTAGGAAATAGGTGTAGCAGCAACCAAGACGATGAAATGAAACAGCCTGACACCAATTCTTCAAGATTCTTCTCTTAGCTCTGTAGCACTTCATCATTTCGGTCTATCTGTTCATACAGTTAGAGAAAATTAAATTATTGGTGGCAGCATTCATGTATGGAGAGGAACAATAAACACAAAGGAAAAAAAGATAGTGATAGAATGAAAAAGATATTTAATTTGGCAGCTATTGCTGTGTAGCAGCACCGCTGAAGAGGTTGCAGCTGAATTTCCAACATGAAAATCTATTGCTTGACAGTGCCGGCCTTCTCCTGTCTCAACATAGAACCCCACCTCCCCGCCCCCCCCCATTGCCTCTGCTCCTCTGTATTAATTTGCTGTACTCCTCTGTATTAACCTGTACATGGCTTGTGTTAGGTTGCCTTACGCAGATTTGCACAATGCTCAAAGCAGGTCGAATGTTGCATTAGTTAGTACTATCTCTGTCGAACAAAGTCTGATGTTTTAGTTTTGTCCCAAGTCAAATGTCTTACGCTTGATCTTATGTAGACAAAGTATTCAACATCTATGGCACCAAATGGATTAACTATGCAAAATTATTTCATCATGAATGCAATTATACTTGTTTGATATAAAAAAATATTAGTATTCTTTCATATAAATATAGTCAAACTTAAGATTGTTTCACTTAGGACAAAATCAAAATGACTCTTTGCGCAGGACAGAGGTGGTACGTCAAAATTTATTGTATTAACCAATGTAGGCTTGCACAAGCTGATGAGGCCCATAAAAATATAATATTTTCACCTCTCCATCTGTACTATAATACGAAAGTGTCCACATGGAATAGAATGTAACCAATCGAGAACGATAAGACCAACACATGGTATATATTTATGCTGACTTAGGTTATGCTACATGAGTCCTAAAACAAACACCCACCCAATACAAATTTCTTTCACTATCAAAATCAAGAGCTCCAACTTATATACAACATTGCTCAAAGTTTCAGGCTTTCAGCATTCACCTGAATATGGCCAACTTTACATAAACAATCACCAGTAATGATACACAACTCTCCTATGTGTTTGAGAAATTCAATTGCTGAGAAATAAGTTCAGGTTTTGCCCATGTGACATGCATCGAGTGTTACCACAAAATGGGCTACAGCACAGGAAAACTTGGTTTTCCAAAGCATATAAACTAATAAAAGCCTACATATAAATACCTATACTCATGTTTCATGGTTTCTTAAGTATGTGTATGTCCTACCAGATATTCCTAGTTACAGGCCCTTTTGATACAACAAAAGTATTCCATGCTATGTTCTCCATCAATCTCTCCACCTCCTTGTCCTTTCTTCTTACTTCAACTTGTCCACCTCCTTGTCCCAGTTCAGACCAAACATCTGCCGCCCAAAGGGTACTATCAGGTTGTACCGGAAAACCTGCAATTTTACATCAAAATAGAACTCCTTATCATCCCATTTTGGTGATTCCACTAATGAGAAGTCATGTGAGATGGTTCAAGTAGCACCTTATCATTTATCTGGCGAATTTGCTCCCGGAGAACCCTGCAGTCATCATTCCAGTTAGAATCATCATCTTCAGAGCGGTTTGCCCATGCCTTCCTTAATGCCGACCTCCAGCCCATGATCATACCACGGATTTCCTTATTCAGCTCAACCCATTCAGGTGCACAACCATTCCTTGAAAGTATCCTGTAAAGGGTGTCCTCGGCAGGATCTGCATGAGGATTTGAAGCGAGGTTTAGGGGTTTGCCCTTCCCTGGTAGATTTTCAAAGTGCCCTTCCTCCATTGAATGCCATATTCTTTGTTCAACGACATTTACAATGTCAGTTTCTGACCTGAACAATGGCAAACAAGCTATTATGGACAAACAAAATCTTTTGATAAGTAATGCACGACTGACAGAACTTGGATGTATCAATGAGATACCAACCTGAACATTTATCCAGTCTTCAATTAAAAAATTATTGGTGATTTGGCATGAGCATCTACATTCTACAAAGTTCTGACATCAAGGCAGATATCGGAATGCATAGACCCAACCTACTGGCTTTCATGTTTGTGATGCATCGTGTACTCTTATGAGTAATCAAACTGAGAGATTGATAACTAGAAGCAACTAGCCAGCTGCGTGCCAACCACAGGACATAATCTCTTACATTAAACTTTATTTACAGCACAACACCAAGGATGCATAATGGGAGCTTGGACCATGGTAAAGAGAAAGAAAGGAACAGCATAGCGGTATCTGCAGGTTTTGCTCAGATGCCTTGCCTAGCTCCAGCTGATCACAAATAAGGCATCCTGTAAACATTAACAGCTATCACTTTAGGGTGAGGTTTGAACTTCGAAGCAAGTTCAATTCTTGGCCGACACCATTGAGATCTATTTATCTATCTATTGAGGACACCATTGAGAATTTTGTTACAGTGGGCATTATTAACAGTGGCTAGAGGGCTGTAATCATTATTTCACACTACCTCAAGGACAAGAAGGTTACAAACAAACAAAATGTCCAAAAAAGTGAGTACCAATTTGGTCATCACCACCAGGGGCAGACCCACCGCTACAGCAGGGTGGGACAGCCGCCCCAGGCAGCCATCTGTGTTAATCCCCCTAGCCCCACTGCTCAGGTCTCAGACATGGCTGATCCTGCTATCTGAAGGAGCGACAAACAAGCTGGAGAAGGTAGAAGATGAGCGACCTCGAAATTGCTCATTTGCCTGACATCAACCCAGCCTCTGTTTATTTTTTGGACTGACTAAACGGGTAAACTAGAGGCCAGCCGCTCAGCTGCGGCCATGGAGGAAGGGGAAGGCAAGCAGCAGCAGGGTTGGAGGGACGACCCAAGGTCGCCTTGCACCTTGCGCCGGCGGCCAGGGATGGAGCAACAATGATGGCCCAAGTTCGTGGTGTCCCTCTTATCTTGGCATGAAGAAGTGAAAAACTAGAGGTAAAACTGGTTTAATTTCAACTGCAATTGTTCACGTACATGAGTACGTTTTTTTTTAGTTTGTGGTCCCAACTATATTTTGCGGCTGGGTCCGCGACTGTCCAACACCGGTTGAGATGGTTTGGACATGTCCAACGGAGGCCTCCAGAGACACCGGTGCATAGTGGAATCCTAAGCCAGGATAGTAACGTGAAGAGAGACAGAGGAAGACCAAAGTTGACTTGGGTAGAGGCAATAAAAGGAGACTTGAAAGGATGGAGTATACCCAAAGACTTAGCCTTAGATAGGAGTGCTTGGAAAACAGCTATTCACGTGCCTGAACCTTGATTGCTTCTGCTGGGTTTCAACTCTAGCCTACCCCAACTTGTTTGGGAAGGCTTTGTTGTTGTTGTTGGTCCACCACTGTCAGCACCCCAGATATACCTTAAAACAAACACCATTCGGTGTAATAGTTGTACAGAATTCACATACAGTGTGATTGGAAAAGGATTGTAGTGCCAGGTACCCAAACATCTGGATGGTTCATGGGGTCTTATGTGCAAGAACAGGATGATAGGGTTAATCAAGAAATGGACATTTGAGTTCACACAAGAAACAAGATGTCCGCGTGAGCTAAAATTTGACAAAAAGTAATTATAATCACGCGGACAATCAGGAACCTAAACAAAAGAAAATATCAATCTAGGCAAGTAGAAACAAGATATCAAACCTTTCGATACTATGTAATAGTTCCGACGAGGAGATTGACTGTACCATACTATCAATTTCCCGTCTGGAATGGTGGCACAAGGGAAAACATCCTCTACTTTTTCACTCTTATAGTAGTGCTTCTGAGCCCCAAACATGTCTATCAGTTAAGACTTACTTTTTGTGAAGGTTAGCCTGCAAAATAGTGCATGCGCCGGCATGGTGGATTTTCTTCCGTGTAACGTTTTGTGAAACAAATTACACAGAACTAGCAAACAGTTACTATGAATGAACAACTATTCTTGCAGCATACATCATGTCGAATCTAGATTCAATCAATTGCCCACTGCACAGCACAACGAGCAAATAAAGATAAAGCCACGATTTTTCCTGCGAACGGTGTGGAGGAGGGATCTGGGACCGAGACACCGACCTTACTGCGTTGCCGCGCCCGCGGAGCTCGGGAGGGAGCTTGCGCTCGTTGACGGCGTCCATGACGGTGGCGAGGCGGTGGTGCCCGGACCCGGACGGCGCCTTCTTCTTCCTGCTGCTGTTGCTGTCGGGGGACGTCGACGAGGCGGAAGGGGCAGCCGGGTCGGCGCCGGCCCACGAGGCCGACCAGAAGGCGCGGCTGCTGCGGGCGGGCGCGAGCGCGAGGAGGCGGCGGGCTGCGGCGCCCGGCACCGCCATTGGAGACCCCCTCTGCCCCGGGCGGCGATCGCGGTGAACAGGCCCCGCCGTGGCTGCGCGGCTTCCACCGTTCCACGACGCCACCACCGGTCCGAGTCGGCTGGAGGAGTTGGAGCCTCGGTGGGCTGGAAACGGGCCATGGGCCTCCGGTGTGTTTGCGCTTGTCGCTTCATGGGCCGAGACCTTCCATGGGTACATATATGGGCCCTAGCAAGGCCTTCTTATCAACTGGGCCTCGAAGCCTAGTTGATGATGGTTTGCACAGTTGCATGGCCTCCTCTGCTCCGTCCGGCTGAACGGTTCTTCCGGCGAGCGAGCTGCAGCGGGCGCATGGCGATGGATGGCAGCGAGGCGACCCAAGAATTTCTCCCCGGCATGTCCTCTCCATCAGAAATCTGGGACCCTTTCTCACTATATATGCAGCGGATACATAGAAGAGTACGACCGAGCTAGGAGAAGCGCGAACGCGTGCACGCGCAGACGCCGAGGTCGAGGGTCGAGGGGTACGCCGGTAGCTCGGAGCGTCGTCGGAGAGAGACCCGACACCGCCACGCTTGAACGCAAGCCTAGGAGAGCGAGTGCCGGTCCGGGGGAGACCGGAGACACAGACGATCTCGATCCATCGTCGGCGGTGCAGCAGCAGATTCGGTAGTAATGGCAGAGACGGCGGACATGGAGCGGATCTTCAAGCGGTTCGACACCAACGGCGACGGCAAGATCTCGCTGTCGGAGCTGACGGATGCGCTGCGGCAGATGGGGTCCACCTCCGCCGACGAGGTTCAGCGCATGATGGCCGAGATCGACACCGACGGCGACGGCTGCATCGACTTCAACGAGTTCATCACCTTCTGCAACGCCAACCCGGGGCTCATGAAGGACGTCGCCAAGGTCTTCTGATGCATCACATCATCATCGTCAATACGATACCATCGATCGATGATCCTGCTGCTTATATATATATATATATATATATATATATATATATATATATATATATATATATATATATATATATATATATATATATATATATATATATATATATATATATATATATATATATATATCTACGTACCATTCAGCTCCAACATCTATATCATTTCAGCTGGCCTGCCTCAGCTCGCCGGTCTTACTGCTGCCCTTCACCTTCTTATATATTCTTATATAAGCACAAAGCACTAGCCAGTACTAGGAATTTGTTTTATTTTAATATTTCTTCTTGGCTGCCAATCCATTATATGTGGACTTATTTTATTTTAATTTTTCCCTCGATCATCGGATAAGTATACCTGAGCAGGCCAGGCCAGCTTTCTATGTAATTCATATATATATTCATCCATTGGAGAGAAGCGATCGATCTCCTTAATTCGTATAAACAAAGTACTATGTGTTTCAATGACAAACGAGTGCTTCTTTTCACAACTGATTTCTTAATTTTATTTTCTTAATGATATGATGAGGGGGATTTTCTTTTATTATTTTTTTGATGAGAGATGATGAAGATTAGTCTATTGTTGATCGACAATCTGAAAACAATTATGATGTCATTGCTCCGGCCCAATGTATATGGTGAATGGGCTGGCCTTCGTAATGCCGAGTCTTTCCATGCATCTATTGGGCCCAAGAGCCCCTTCAACAAATAAATGGACGCCTCCACTCTGCTTCTCGATCAACAAATAAATGTCAACATAGCTCGCAGTTCGATCCATAGTCACATAGGTAGGCATGTTTGGTCTGTAGCTCCACCTGATGGTGTTTGTAACTTTTACTATTATAGAACTAAAATATTAAGAGGAAAGCTTTTAAAAAACAAATAAATGTCAACATAGTTTTTAAGAGAAATCAAAATATTAAAAGTTTAAGGACCCATGCTTTCTCTCCCCTATATTCATTTTTCAACATAATGCAACTAGGCCAGTCTCAGTGGTTAGTTTCATAGCGTTATTTCCAAGACCGCTATGTCACAGTAGAATAAAATGAAACTTGGATGAATTAACACTTACTCTCAATGCAAAGTTTCATTCAATAGTTTCATGGGCATTTAATTTCATGACTCATAGAGAGTTGATAATCGTGTCAAGAGAGTTTTGTTTAGATAAAACTCATTTTTCTCTTTTCTTAAAGACACTATCATATCATCAAAAAATGACTATGTACGTGGCAACCTAATGTAAATGAAACTCAGATGAAACAACCACTGAGAGTGGCCTAAATACTTTATCTATTCTAAATTGTAAGTCATTTTAGATTTATTCCGAATCAAATTAATTTCTCATTTTAGAAAAATGTGCAAACATATATGACATCAAACAAGACTCATTAGATACACCATTTAATATATATTTAGTAATACATGCACTTATTTGATATTGTAGATATTAATATATTTTTCTATAAATGAGGTCATAGTTAGACAAATTTGATTTAGAACCGGAGCTAAAATGACTTAATAGAGAGGGTGCTTTGTAACCTTCATTTATCTATTTGTGACAAACTCGAGCATTTTTTCTAAAACTAAAACATTATTGAAACATTGAAAAAGGAAAGTCTACACCTATTTCTATCTAATTCCTAGCTAAGAGTCAGTTTGGTGTTGCTCTCCCTCCGCTAGTTGCTGCAGCTCTCGCTTCCCTTAGATCCAGCTCCGCTCACTCCCCACCCGAAAAAACGTCGTTTGACAACGCTTCTTTGTCGGCTCGGCTCTAGCTTGACGGCGCTGAGGGGCGCAGGCGAAGAGGCGTGTGAAGGAGGGGTGCAGAGGGGGCGGTCATAAAGGGACCCCAACAGGCCCTGCGTCAACCTCGCCTCCTTAATTCATCAATGGCGGAGAGGGCGCGGGTGGCGGAGGACAGCACTGGCAGAGAAAGGCGCAGACGGAGAGGGCGGCATGGGCGAAGAGAACGACGCAGGCGGAGAAGAGCGCAGACAGAAAGGATGACACAGGCAGAGTGGGCGGCGCAAGCGAAGATGTGTGGGGAGCGGGGGTTTTCCGCTCCTCGTCAGCTGTGCAAAAGGGGCGGATGCAGGAGAAGCGATTCCTGCACAAAGCTTGGCGGAGCAGAGGCGTTTGCCAGCGCTTCCCTAATTCCCGTGTGGAGCAGAGCAGGAGAAGCGTTGCCAAACTGGCTCTAACACCCTGCTGCGTCTGTACCTTGTTTTTGCGCTGCCATACCAATTGTGTGTGGAACACTATTTTTCTCAACCGAAGTATTTATTTCTTATACTAGAACAATAAATGGATCGATTTAGAATTTAGAGTGAAAAGAATGGGTAAAAATTCCATCTGGGTGGAATAGAACATCCCCTCGGAAAGGAATCCCATATCCATAGTACTCCCGTTCGAATTGTAAGTTGTTTTATTTTTTTCTTGGTACATAGCTTTTGCCACATATACTTAGATATACATTGTATATGTCTGGCTACAAGCTATCTATCTAGAAAAATAGAAAGATTTATGATTTGAAATGGAGGGAATAGTAAAGGTAGAGAGAATCTCATGTTGCCGTACAAACTAGAAATAAAAATAGTCATGTATTTACAATTTTTATAAGCGCACGAGAATTTGAATCTATACGATTCCGTACGTTTGGCAACACTTTTAGAAGCATACTCTTTATAAGAATCACTCCTAAGCTAAGCAGTAAAAATTCACATGGATTCTAATTGTTAGAATCAGACGGAAATCACCGAGAGGTAGAACTAAAAAAACTAAAAACTAGAGCTCCTCACTGCTCCCTATTCATTGTCCATTAGAATCACTCTAGATTCACTTCACATCTACTCTCGTACCAAAATAACTCCATCTACCAGATAGGCCTAAATGCGTAAAATCTTGCACATACCCATACCATCGTCAAAATACAAAAAAGGTACTTTTGCTAGCCCGTGCAATAATCTAGCTGGCCTGGGCAAGGTTAGGCAAAAGTCCGTGACTGGCGATTAATTCGAAGATAGATAGCAAATCGCTTGGAAGGGACGGCATGCATGGTTTGACTCGAACTGTCAGCCTAACAAGATAGCAAATCGATCGGTGGACCGTGCGCTGCCGTCGGATTCGCATTAGGCATTACACTACACTGGTCAGTCGAGTCGACATGAGTGAAGGATGGAAATTGGGATCGATGGAGTGAATGAATGCACTGTGATGGTGCGTGCGTGCCTCCCACTGGGGAGTCAGCATCATTCCTACCCTTGAATATCATCCGTCTGATTTGGCTCAATATTAGTTTCCTGCACACTGCACTGCGAAGATGAGTAAGCAGAAAGCGATGCAAAGCGCCCGCCGGCCATCATTCCGGCCGTTCCCCGATCGACTGATGACGATGATTCCCTCATATGTCTTTCCGAATAAAGGGCATGGACCGACGAGGAATCTCTGCTCTAAAAGCTACTGGCCTCTAGGTCTAGGGTCCTGGAGCATTGTTGTTAATCATGCTCCAGATCTTCAGCGTATCCATGCGTGATGCATCCTCTGTGAAGGAAAGAAGCTCGTTCCATCGGCTATGCGCGTCCATGCATCTCAGCAGGCAGCCAGCAAGGAGTGATCGATCGACCAGCAGTGGTCATGTAGTGCAGAATATAAATCTTGAGCCACAGTGGTTGGGTTACGACTCCTATTGTTTAGTCCACGATCCCATCACATCCATCTATGATCTATCCTATTTCAATCTGGGCACAAAAAACCGAGAACCGAGAACCAAACCAGACTAACCGGAACCAAAACCAAAATATTCGGTTCCAGGTTCCAGGTTCCAGGAACCGAAATTATTACAGTTAATTCGGTTCGAGCACTCGGTTAACCGAATTAACCTGAAATGACCGAACTATGTAAAGGCCCCTAGAATGCAGGCTTGAATATTGCTCTATGCTTGAATATTTGATAGAACAATAACATATATGTGTTGTACTGTTGTTTTATGCTACATTGCTGTTAAAATTGTCCTTTTGACTACATGAAAATCAGGCAAAATGCTGCCAAAATTTACAATTGAATTGGTTGT